CTTTTGCCACTCCTCCGCCCAGGTGCCTCTGGGAGGCGATTCCCAAATGAAATCGATTATGTAATTGATTCCATTTGGGAATCGGCCCCCGGAGGCAACTGGGCGCGACAATTTTGTTTTTTTTTTTTTTTTTTTTTCCTCTTGGAGGCGATCCCCAAATGGAATCGATTACGTAATCGATTCCATTAGGGAATCGCTTCCCAGAGGCAGCTGGACGCGACACTAGGCTACCAAAGTGGCCCAGGGTCACTTGCTCGGCTGGGCAAAATAATAATAATAATAATAATAATAATAATAATAATAAATAAAAATCTTTACATTTTATGTTTTATTCTAATTTTGGTGAAGAAGTTTTTTTTTCTTTTTACGGGAAAAGACATCATTCCATTATATGCTAGAAAATGGGTTTGGCATCCCTTACATATAAATCGCAGCCATACAGGGTTGGGAAAAGCACTCCCGACCAATCCCATCCCCGACTACAGCCAAAAAATCAAGCAACGTTGCTCAAACCCTAGCTGCCACTAACTAGTCATTTGAAAGCAGATGCAGTTCAAAAAACAAAAATTGAATCCAACACTACTAAACTTAGTATCTCCTAATTACTCATTAATCCTAATACACTAATAACTACAATTCCCTAATTTATTACCAACCCTAATACGCTAATTAGACAAATGTAATGACGATTCCCCTACAGAAATACTATCTCTATTTTCATTTTTCTTCCTCCCTGTCTAATTACTATTCCCCTGTGTTCTAATCAATGTCCCCTAATTACTCCACAATCACCGTCAGATCTGTCTAAACTTAACTAACCCAGCATATAAAACCAATTAAAACCAAACTAACTTTCCTTCCCCCTATGAAATTACCATTCCCCGGTGTTCTGATTAATATCCCTTAAATTTCCATAACCACCACCAGCTCCATAATTATGTATCTCCAATTCAACGGGCGGCAAAAAGTAACCCAAATTACAATACGTCAACAAAACCGACCCCATTATCATTTTCTCCTTCCCCCTAGCTAAGCCCCGAAGTAGAGACTATACACCTAATTAGCTAGAAACACAAACGATGACAAAATCGTGTGAAGCCGACTATTGCAATCCAAATCCTTCCACCGATGAACAGAACCCGGCGACGTAACTAAAACAGGGTCACCAACCTATGGGCTCACGTACAATTCTACTCAACTCCAAAAAGAGGGCCAAAACGTCTCGTCCAGCAGCACCAACGCGCCAATAGCAAGAGAGGAGCGTAATCAGTCGATCTGTCGTCCCAAACACATGCACAACACCCCAAATGTCTGCCAAACACCCCAACCTTCCATTCCACCGTCTATCAGGCATACACCAAGCACTTCAATCAGCATCACCAAGCTCGGTCGAAATCCTCTCCCAACTCTTGGGTTCCGTATCTGAAACCAGGGGACTGCGCTCCTGATTGGTTGATAATTCTGGTATAACATCGACGTCCAGATCCTGCACGCTGACTATCCCCGCATCACTCTCCTATCCCTCCACAGTCAACCAGGATTACAGACCCCTGTCAGTCAGGACTGGCCCATGGCAGGAGCATGGCAGTGCCCCTCTGCACGTGTCCCCCATCGATCTGACCCTGAGGCAAAACTTGTTCAGTTTATGTTTCGGCATAACATAGTTTTTTTCCGGATTTGTTGGGATTTTTTTTTTTTTGCCTCCGCGAGGCGATTCCCAAATGGAATCGATTACGTAATCAATTTCATTTGGGAATCGCCTCCCAGAGGCACCTGGGCGGGACACTAGGCTACCAAAGTGGCCCGGGGTCACTTGCCCGCCTGGGCCAAAAATAATAATAAAAATATATATATATATATATATTTTTACACTTTATTTTTTATTCTAAATTTGGTGAAGAATTTCGATGTGACCTTGAGGCAAACGTTGTTCAGTTTGTTTCTGCATAACATAGTTTTTGTCCGAAGTTTTTGGAT